CATGAACAAGTAGGCCATACTTTGTGAGCTTCCCAGGATTATACGTTCGAATATGAAGCCTTCCTCTCCAAGGAATCACAGATTCGTCCAAAGACAGTTGTTGCTCTGGCTTATAAACTGTCTGAAATTTTTCAACCAAATTGTCTAATAAGGGCTCAATTTTGAAAAGCCTGCCCATTGGTTGTGGTTGCACTTCACTGTTGAAATGCAAACACCACATCTGTTCAAATCTCTTACGACTCATGAATTTGCTGAAAATTGCAATTTCTAAAAATGGGTCACTTGACCAATAATCCTTCAAACTTTCTCTCTTCATAAGCCCCATTAGAATGATTATAGCCAAAAAATTTTTCATTTCTGTTGAAGTGACATCCACCCACTTCAAAACCTTATTGGTTCTGTCGTACGCCTCACAGTGTTGGAGATAGTATCTGTTAGTTTCCTGACACAACAGGTCAAAGAAACTATCTCCAAAAAACAGTGACGCAACTTCAGACACGTCCGTTGGGTCCGATGGCATCTGCTTCACCCCCGGATCACCAGTAAACTTTCCCAAAGTGGGGGTTTTGTCCACTTTATCCCATGTAGCTGTCCCAACACTCGCACTTTCAACGGAGCTCTCACTTTCACTTGACACATTTTGGGCAGCCCTGTGGCTGCCCACACTGTCACTGTCACTGATAATGGCCTCGCTATCAGAAGACGAAGCAGTTGGCAAATCTGATAGCTCATCGGAGAACATATCTAATATTTCCTGTCCTCCGAGAGATCGCAACTGCTTTCGTCTCTGAGCCATGTTGAACTGGTAGCTGCGTGGTTCATACGTGCAAGCTTGGATTAGAACAAAGCCAATTTTGTTTAGGTTGTGACAGGAAATGACTCTGGTCCAGTTACTAGATAAGGCAGCAATCATTCCCGAGGTCATCTATGCAGTAGTTACGATTCAACGAAGCCACACAGCGATATATAGCGTTTTGCAACATAATGTGACCGTAGAGGGCCATATGGCCCGACCGGTCCGCAACGCTTGGAAACGTAGAGGGCCATATGGCCCCTCCGGTCTGCAATGTGTTAAAAATGGGCAGGAGATGTCAGAGGATGACCAGCGCAGCGGGAGACCTTCGACATCCAGAACCGAAGAAATGATTGGAAAAGTGCGACAACCGATTTGATGTGATCAAAGAATGACCATTGTGGAGTTGGAGCAAAAAGTTGGTATCTCTTACGGATCCATTCATGCCATTTTGTCCAATGATTTGAAGATGAGACGCGTCAGTGCAAAGTTTGTTCTGAGGCAGCTGACCATGGATCAGATGGAATGTTGCATGATGGTCGCTGGTGATCTGTTTGACAAAAGTACGCAGGACCCGACGTTTCTCAAAAAGATCGTCACTGGTGATGAGTCATTGGTGTTTGCCTACGACCCGAAGATGAAGATACAGTCATCAGAATGGCACACAGCGTCATCTTTCTGGCCAAAAAAAATCATGCCTCATCAGATCCAAAGACAAAGTGATGCTCATTGCATTCTTTCACATCGACAGTTTCATGCACCATGAGTTCGTACCTCCTGGACAGACTGTTGCTGGCCATTTCTACGTGCAAGTTTTGCAGAGGTTGTGCGATGTGGTTCGGAGGAAGCGGTGCGACAAGTGGCAGGGACAGTGGTTTCTGTATCACGATAACGCACCGAGCCACACATTGCTTGTTGTGCAGCAATTCCTCACCAAGAAGAACATTTGTGTCATCACTCAACCACTGTACTCTCCAGATCTCGCTCCAAGAGACTTTTGGCTGTTCCCTTCTCTGAAAATGGGCCTCAAGGGGACACGTTTCACAACCATGGAGGTCATCAAATCGAATGCGACAGCTGAGCTCTGGAAGATTCCAAAGGAAGCCTTCCACCACTGCTTCAACAATGGCAGCATTGATGGAGCAAGTGTGTGCGCATGCAAGGGCCCCACTTTGAAGGTGATTAGATTAGTGTTGCCATATGTCCTACCATTAGAGTACTATACCAACACTCCGGAAACTTTCTGACTGACACTCGTATATTCATCACACACTTACCTGCCTGATTCCATGGGTCACCTGAGCTCTCTGCAGTCCCAGGGACTGCCCTGACAGAGGCGCCACCATTCCCGCAAGGGGCCCAGAAGGTGCTGCAGGAACAGCAACAGCTGTCTGCAAATAATTACATTTTATATGGATTGTGGTCAGTTGGGCTGTAATACCACATAACACTGTGGGTGGATACCAACATTTCTGTGTTCCCACAGTTCCTGTTGATCCAGCCTGCGCTCCATCTCCCCTTCCCCTCCCACACATCTAAGCGACCATCCTCCTTGCAACTTGCTACATAACCTAACCACATTTTCACCTCACTCACTTTTACTTTAAATACAGAGGTAACATGTTCCTGAGAGGTTGGTATCCACCTAGAATACTACACAAAACCTAGATGATTGCAATACAAATACAAGAATTTGCCAAGTTTTGTCTGAACAGACAAATGACTCATCTGCCATGTGTCTTTTAAAGTTATGTACTCAACTGTGAAAAGTATTTTTCATATTTTGATCCAGGTTATCTGACATCTGGATTAACGGAAACCAGATGAGCGAGGGTTTACTGTATAAAAGGGAAATCTTACCACTTATACATCTCAATATTACAAGCATTTCTGAGTAAAAGAAAGTGCCATGAAGTGAAAGAATATGTCAGAAGTTCACTATTTTAGTGGAAAAAGTGGAAGCTTTATTCAATTCTTTCCTATCCTCTGCTTTCATGTACAAGAATTTTTAGAACACAATTACCAGGACATCATAAGATGATGTTGAGGTACTGTCATGTAAAACATTGAATGATTATGATAAAGCATGGTTTCTGAAACTGTGGGTCTCAACCTCCACCCCTCCCATGGGGCATTAACTAATCTAGGTAGCGGGTGATTTGACTAGTTCTGAATTATTATTTAAAACATAGTTAGGTTAGGAAGTAGCCAGTTCAGACACTGAGAATGGTAAATCTGCTGGCTTTCTCCTGCATTAATCTTAATGACATCAACACCTTGAGTCATGGGTGTCACATCAATTTCTGCATTGTTTTACGGGATGGAGGTACAATAAAGTTAGCAAACTCCTGCACTAGGGATAAACAAGATGTTCCCTAATGATGACCATACAGAGGTTGAAACATGTTGGCCTTTTAAAAATGTGTAACACTGGTAATTGTAGTTTGATGGCTAAATTCTGAGTACAGCAGTTTTATATTTTCCCATACCACTTGTTACTTGCTTCAGATCTTTGTGTAAATTAATTTGCAGCTGGTACTAACAAGATTAAAAATAAAATGAATTACTTAATGCATCAAAAGTGTGCTCCAATTTTTGTTTTGTAAAGATGGATATAAAGCAAAAAATATGTTTTATAAATAGAGGAATTTTACATAGATACAATTACTGTAACGGGATAGTGCAATTGGTATAGCGACTGGCTATGGGCTGGACAATCGAGGGGTCAGAGTGCAAGTCCCATTAGATCAAGAATTTTCTCTTCTCCACATCCTCCAGACCAGCTCTGGGTCCCATCCAACCTCCTATACAATGGGTAGCGGAGGCTCTTTCCCCAGGGGTAAAGTTGCAGGGGTGTGAAGCTGACCACTCAACTCTAGCTAGTGCCAAGGTCAAGAAAGTGTGGACCTACACATCCACTCCCCCCTACACCTTCATGGTGTAGTCCTTAATTACTTAGGCACAGGGACAACTTTACCTTTTACCTTACAATTACTATAACATCCACTTACTGACTGTGGTATGGCCAAAGCATATTCTGGTGCTAATTCAGCAAGAGCCTGCGGTGACAGATCCAAACCCATGAAGTCAGAGAGTGCAGGATACAGCGAACCTCCACGTTTGCCAACCAGCACAGGAACTTCTGTGGGGTTCAGTGGATATGAGGGTGGCGCTGTCGGTGGTGATACTGCTGCTGGCGATACAGCAAGTGGTGCGAACTGTGACTCATATCGATATTGTGCCTGCAAAAAAAAAAAAAAAAAGATTAGTGATTGTCACATTTACTGTGGGAACCATTCTGGCATCTGTGGCCCCACAAAGGCCATCCAATGAAATGTAGTGGCTTTTGCAATTAACAATATGGGTCAGGGAAGAACATCCCTTATAACAGCGTTTTCCAACCTCCTTTAACTCCAGGACCCCCCCTTCCCCAAGTACCCCTTTCTGGCTCTGTGGACCAACTTGTTTTATCCACTTACATACTTACACTTTCTACATTTAACTGGAACAGGTATTACATATATTTCATCTGATCTCTTTCTGGTACATTCTGCCACGTTTTCTTCTTGTCATTTGATTAATAGTTTTATACTTTCATTTCAAGAATTATTACATTGCTACGTGATAATTTTTTGAGAAACATCAAACAACTTTGTAAGCAGTCACAAACATATTGGAAATATGTATTTTGTAATTAAAAATTTAACTTTTGTTCCCCAAACAATGCAAGTGAGTCACCAGATGCAATGTGATACTGTTCACAAAGGATGGGGGAGAAAGAAATAGACAAAGCACTGTAGCAAAGCAGAAGAAACATTCAACTGAAATCTCCATGGGCTGCCCATGGACAACATGCAATCTGTAAACTATATGTTAGGATGAAACATTTGCTGAAAACCTGGTGAAGGATACAAACTGGAATGATGGAACAGGTGAACAGGTATGGTGTGCTTGCCAGCCTGGTGCCATGTCTGCAGCCATTGCAATCGCTCTTTCCTCACAGCCTACATCATTCATGAACATGGAGCACCGTGTCAGCATGTCTCTCCAAGTGAAGGGAAACCAATTCAGCTTCTTCCATAACCCACTTATCTCCACATCCATCATGATATGTACTCCTAAGTTACATTTCCATTGGTAAATTATTACGAGAGTTATAATTACTAATTCATGGCCTCCTCTGAATGAATCACACTATTCTACATTAGGAGGTGGAAAGAGTAACATTTGGTAAGTGCTTTCTCAACAATCACATTTTCATCATCGTAATCCTTCCCATCATTAGAATGAAATGGTTCGTCAGGGAAAGTAAGAAGTAGTTTTTGAATTTCCTTGACAGCAATAGGAAAATCCAGCCAAGTTTAGTAACTTCCATGCAAGATTCTCTTACCGTTGCCAGCTGGTCAACTTTCATGTCTTCAAGAGATGGATACAGCGACATTCTTCACACCTAGAAGCAAAACAAAAATCAATTTTACAGTCCTCTGGATTCTGACTTCATATAGTCTTGTAGTTCAGTACCAGTGCCTTAGAACAACACACCACCAAGAGGAGTTCTCTTCTGTGATATAACACTGAGTGTAGTCCACTTAATGTCAACTAACATTTCAGAGGAACATGCTGCTGTGATTGTTGCCTGCTTCATGCTGGGTTCTTGCTTGACTTATTTCTTAAGGCGCGTCCACATTAATCGTGCTCGTGCTTGTGTGACTCGCTAGGCTCGTGAGTAATGTGGACGATATGACAAGTCACAAGACAAGCAAATTTAAAATTTTTAATTTAAAAACTATAGCCAATAAATTAAAATACTACTACAGTCTATACACACTACGAGTAAATATATGGATCCTCATGAGCCGAAGCCTGGCGAGCAACTGAAGTAGAGTGGATGAAGATTTACAGGCACAAGTAAAAGCCAGACGAGTCTCCTGACGAGCACAAGCCTGGTGAGCACAAGAAGAGTAATGTGCACGTGCCTTTAAACGTAAAGAGGGAGGCAAAATGATCCTCTGAAATGTCACTTTCAACAGACTAGACAGCATTATATCAGCAGATGAAAGAATTCTATATACCTGCGAATGGCCCAAACATGTAGTAATTAATACATAATGTACAGTGAATCTAAACAAACAACTATCATTTAACTTTGAAGACTGAGGCAATGCATTCCTCCAAAAATGGTTGTTGACTTTCATCAAAGTACACAATATTATATTCCTGAACACAAAACTCTTTCTTTTTTATTTATTTGTAGTTTACTTCATGGTGCAAGAGTGTCACCCACTTGACCCTGACATCTGATCACAAGTGTTACCATTATGAATGTGTGTTTGCTGATTGCAAGTAAATGTGTCACAAACATGTTGAAGTGCATTATTTTAGTACTTGCTTCAAACAAAATCAAGTTGCAGGAAGGAACCAAACAGATGTATTTTGATTTGGGTTCCTGTTACACTGAAGGGTGTGCCCATATCATAAACTATGCTCTCAATCATGAAATACTGAAGTAGTAATTCTGTATTTATACATGGGTTATCTTTGAAAATGGGGCTATTCTATGACAGTTAGGTTCCTAACTTAATTTTAATATAAATGTGAAAGGTTTCCCTTGACAGTAAAATCTAGATTTTGTACAAATTATTCTAACCTTTCACCACTAAAAACAACTGCTACACCTAACACAGACGCTCCTATACAGCTCTTGCATCGCTAATTCAAATTAAAGCTAAACGTGTATTACCTACTTCATTATAAGTATTAAAATCTGGCAAGTTCTACTTGCAAAAAAAATAATTTAAAACCACGTAGGTATCTGGATATTAAATCCGGTACCTCACGTTTACATTCTGTGGGTATGTCTTGTAAAATACTTTGTATATTTAGCTTTATGTAAATAAAACACTGGATGTCATAATCATGTTTATTTCTATATTCAGATTAACTTAAAGGAAAGCAGAAAATAAACTAAATACCAATTTATAAGTTACTACTTACTTTTATCTGTTGCCTCCTTTATGAAAACGAACACTTCTCCCCCAAATGCGGATAACGCTACACCGATAAACTTCGTTCCGTAAGCAATGGTCAACAGCACTTAGCACACTTTATCCTATGACGCGAGGTCATATGATTCAAGCGCCACGAGCAGTATCCCAGAATCCCCTGGATGACGATTTAATGATATCGAATAACGTGACTGACGACAGCAGATAATGTTACTAGTACGTAATGATGTTGCAATACCGGAAATTAGAATGTGAGCATTTCTCTCGACAAAAAATAAATTAGCGCTAAATTCAAATTCAGTTATTCCACGCTCTTACCGTACAGCACAACTGCTTATGGACGTGTGGTGTTTAACTATATATCAGCGGCACTTTATTTCCGAAAATACTGTTGCTGGTAGACCCGTTGTTAAGTAACGATCGCAAACAAAACGGTAACGAATCAATACGCAACAACACAGGAATTTTTGGAAGCGGTGTATTCTGTGGTACGCGCCGCAACCACTGCTACGCAACGGCGCGGTAAACACGCCTATGCAACAATAGAAGAGCTGTGTTTTCTACGTGGTCCCTGCCGAGAAGTTATCTTGAAGACAGCTGTGGCGACCGTCTATCCCCCACACTGTACAGTCTATATATTGTGACGTGTTATATTACGTCCATCGCTGCGCAACTGACTTACTGACTGACTGACCGTCAGTCGCAATGTGACTTTGACTCTGATAAGACGTACCACCAGTCGTAAAGTAACTCTCTCTCTCTCTCTCTCTCAAAATGTACCAAAACAATACCTCCACCATGACCCTGTGAGTCGTAGGAGGCGATGAAAAGGAAAGTCTCAAATCTGAGACAGTAATACATGGTCACGAGTGCTAAGGGACTCGGACCTGAGAAAGACTGTGCTGGCAAGGACCAGCAGTATATACAAAAGACCTGTCCTCAGGTCAGAGAGGGCACTCCAAAAAGCAAGACCGTAACTGTCAAACAGTAATAAATATCTGGTCATGAGCCCAAGATGGGGCTCGACACCAAGATTTACTGACTGAATGACTGTCAGTCGCAACTTGACTTTGACTTTGACTTTGACCATGAGGGTAGATGTTGACCACCTGAGTCCCACCTTACACTGAATGGACGAAACATTCCCTTTGTAAATAGTGTAAAGCATCTCGGTGTAATCTTCAATAAGAAAATTACATGGAGATTGCACATAGAAATGATCGAAGACAAGGGCTTCAGAACATTTATTAGAATACATTCCCTATTCAAAAGTGAATGATTAAGCGGTAACATTAAATTGACCCTCCACAAAACACTCATTGGGAGTATAATGACTTATGCTCCTTATGCTTGCCACTCCTGGGAGTTTGCGGCTGACTAACCCTCCATAAGGCACTGATCAGATCCGTAATGACTCATGTTTGTCCCACCTGGTAGTTAGCAGCAGACCTCTTTAAATTCCAGCGCATGCAAAACAAGATTCTCGGCACCATTGGAAATTTTCCAAAGTGCACATAGGTTTGCAATTTGCACACAGCTTTCAACCTTTCGTATGTATAAGATTATATAACAAAATTTTGCAGGCAGCAAGCAGAAGTCATACAAAATCATGAGAATGAACATGTTTACAGTATAGGACAAGGCGATGCCTGACATAGAAAATATAAGAGGTTTAAAGTTGGCAGTAGTCAAACTTACGATCATTCAAATGACTAAGCTGCCATTATATCATAAGATACGTAAGATTGGCATGATCTCCCTTGCAAAACCTATACTGACAGAGGACTTGTGTGTAGTGCAAAAGGAAGAATTTTCAATAACATGCTATATGTTCGACATGTACACTTGAAGAAAGGCCAAGCATATTCATCAGAGACAAACACATCTTCTCATCAGAGAGGATGTTTCATGGGGGCTCTACTATATCAAGGCTTGATGCCAAGATGAACTGATTGGCAGTAGACCGCCAGTCATAAAGTAACACTGACTTGTGACTCTGACTTTGATAAAGAGAGTTACATATGGGAGGCTGTGAAGAAAGGAGTTAGTTGCAAGAGTGCTTAATTAAAAGTCTGGCTGTGAGAAGTAGAAGTGTGTGTGATATTAGGAATGTGTAATGCAGTGAGACTGTTATAGTTCCCATGTTAAAATCTGTTGCCAGGAAATGGCTAGTCGATGCTGTAATAGACTGAGGACATTAGTCTGTGTTAGTGAGCTGTAAAGTGCAATCGCGAGTCATGAACTTATAACTGGTTAATAAATCTAGTCACCAGTCCATACCCTGTCTATAGTCATACACTTTAAATGTGAGAGCATAATATACTGACACTGATCATTCTGAGCCCTTATTTATTTGGATGATTATACATGACCATGAAATTTATTTTTAATTAATTCTCGGTAATTTTTAATTTCAAAAGGCTTATGTTTCGATATTACTGGAACTTTATTGTGATCTATAATATCATATTTCATTGTCTAGGACGTGCAATACGGTGTTTATGTTGAAATTTCTAGATTCTGGCAGGACCAAGGAGTCCGGAGTTCTGACATTTACGAGCAGTCATAAATTTAGCTTGGGTACAGGGAACCGGACATGCCTAAAAGGAAGGTCAATGAAAAGGACAGGTCAGAACTTGTTACAGTTGCCTGTGAATGAGGGCCAGTATGACTGAGTTGCCTCCTTCAAACGTCCTTATGGAAGATGGAATGAAATGTATATGTCCACACCATGGAGAATTCGAATTCTTTCGAATTCCCGGTGTGGGGTGTGCAAGCCATTTCACAAAAGGGAGACTTTCACCATATTCCGAAGTGAACGGACGTGACCCTTGCATGCTCTGAGACCTAGCTTGCAGATCGTGTAATGCTATTACTTAAAGCATAAGAATACATAAATTTAACAGTGGTATGGAGAACAAAAGGTGAATAAACGTCAATTGGATCAACTCTCAGAATACCGCTTTCTTCGGCATCGCTACCCTGAGACTCATGCAAACCGACCCAGCTAGTTTCCCGTACCTATACCGATCTTCCTTAGTTTGATCTGTGAGGACAACGTGCAGTGGCCATCATACACTGTCCTAAGGTGGTAACAGGTATAGCAGGGATAGCACCATTCTGACTGAGCTGAAATTCAAACAAAGGCGGGTTGGAAAAGATTGGTGTTAATACATTCCTTGGTTCCTTTTGGTTCCTCTCTGTAAGGGTCAAAGTTTTGATGTTACAGATTAGCATCAAGTCAAAATATACCAACTGTCATTCTGCTATGCTTTAAGCTTTTTCATTACATTCAATTTTTTTGTTATCTAACCAGTCAGATAAAGAAAACACTCATGAAGCAACAGCCAAATACAATGTACTGCAGAGAAACATTTCAGCATCAAGTTCTTCTTGGGTAGTTATAGATGGGGCAGGAATTTTATGTAGTATTCAATAAATATGACACATGTTGAAATAAAGTTATTTTTTTACTATATACAAAATAAAATGTACCCTCATGGTTTCTAAAATGGTCCAATATGAAAAAGAGTATACTAGATGTATTAAGTCACATCAATTAAACTTCAATATCCTGTTTTTACTAAAATTATGAAAGGTGCATTTTTAGGCCTTTAATATTATCCTAAAATGTTAAGACATTTACTGCCAGAACCCTATATTTGGACTTTACCAACTAGGCCAGCCTTTTTCCCACACAAATTGAATTTTAACTTACTACACTTGAAGTGTAAATAGAAAATAAAATGCAAAAAAATTTCAAATGTATGCTGAACCCCTTAGCTTTCTAAATTTCTAAATTAGAATAATGAAAATGTCTCAATTGCCCTTTCATGAAATTCAAATTATTTGGAGTGTGGTGTTCTAGATTGTGACATGATAAAGTCTTATAGATGGATACCACCATTTTGAAGGAATGTTTTTCAGGGTTGAAGTGAGCAGGATGAGGATGCATACAGGTTGTGTGGAAGGTGGTCACCTAGATCAATGGGAGGGGGGAACAAATGGAATCCTGGCCAATAGGAATGGTCCTTTTGTGGACCTGATCTTTATTGTCACAGAAGGAACATGGAACTGTGATGAAAATCACAACCTTTCCGGGGTCATTGTGGACAAGAAGTGACCAAATAGCTCCTTTTTGAGAATCCAATTAGAGGAGTGTCATCTCAGCTGAAAATTTGTCTTACCTTTCCCGTTCATGCTTCCTACTAAGAAGGACAGAGCTCCATCCCATTTCTTCCTTTACAATATAACCCTTCCCATTACAATCTTACTAACTTTGACCCTGAAGAAGGGAGCAGCATGTTCCACCTAAGCACTGATATGCACATACAATACTACATAGTACCACAACCCAGAAAACCACAGTCTGAATACTCACTGCTGTGAAAACCTAGGAACTTATATTAAATCATTCATTTTCACATGAGACCAATTTAATATCTTAAGAGTGTATTTGCACTGCACATGGAGTAAACATATCGTTTGTACAGCAACTCCTGTGAGATCCTACCCAAGGTCATATTAGCAGAATGGTGATTCTTGTCCTTAGTTTGTTTTTAAATTGAGGTATAAATTTATCTGTAACCCTAGAAGTGCCATGTGTTGAAATTTTTTACTTTTACAGAAATCTCACAGCATATGATATCTCTTGGCATCTAATCTGAAATACATAGTCAAGAAATATCTGGAAGGAATATTCCCCTACTTTTTAAATATCTATGGAGTTTAAATGCACATTCATACCCATGGAATAAGAGTAGCACTGACAACATAAAATGGCACCTTGGCACTGTAGAAATTAGAGCTGGCAATTCTAGGGTTGTGACATCATTCAAATGAACAAGGATAGGTAAGATAGACAGTGTCAGTATAACAAAATAGCTTCTCTCTCAGATAAATATACATAACCTTTGATGCAGATGTAGACAGCAGCACCGTCTATATTGTACACTCTTTTCTTACTCTTCAAATATGCAGAATAAAAGAACTCTTACCTGAGAACAATCTGTTTACATTCTGTATTTTCATTAGATCTCAGTAAGACACAGGTCTTCAATTGCTTTTTATACTTAGAGATTATTTTCTTTGTAATTGATATTGAGTGGAGTGCTTTGCATAGTAAGATGGACCTTAACTGCAGAAGGATGGATCCTTGCCACAGCTGATAGTTTGTCACTTTTATGGCTGAATTATCTTTACAGTAAATGTTATTTAATAAATTATCTACTGGAAGAAGTATATATAACAAGCAGACATAGGTCTATTAGTTGTTTGCCTGGAATATGATTGCTTTCCTTGTCAATATCACAGTACAGATTAGCTAAAACTTCAATTGAAAGAGTAACACTAAAATTAAAAATTAAAGTTTTCTCATGAAACTAGATATATTATTGGGAATAAGGACTTGAATATCTACCACATTGCTTGCACACTGCTCCAAGGAGCTGTGGCTCCTGGCAACAGAAAAGAATACATCTAGTAATAACTTTAGGTGATGTCCATTAGGTCTGCAGCAGGAAACAAGTGAAAAAGTTACAACTTTACATATGTCAGATTTCATTTTGGGAGGTAATCTGAGAAATCACTTAACAGAACTGTGTGCTATACAAAACAATGAAACAACTGTACTATCTGTTGGTCCATTCATCACCAATTTATTCTTAACTGAATATTGTCAGAAAAATCTTTCTTCTTCCATGTCATCTTAAAAATTTCTAGTCACTGGGGAAGGGGTTGTTAGACCAATTAATCTCTTTTTTGTCTGCCAAAGAGCTGCTAGCCTTACAAAAAATGACAAAGTACTTCCAGTTTTTAAAAGTCCATCTCTCTTTCTTTTGTACCTAAATTTGCAGTCAGTTGAATTACAAATTAAACAGATAAAATCTGTAATCAGGTGAATTATAAATTAAATGAATATCATATTTTTCTGAAGTTTAAACAATTGAAAAATCGAGCATTCTTATCCTGAAAAGTTTACTACCTTATGTCAAATTCTATTTGATAATGTACTGCAAATTCATTACATAAACTTGATTTTATTTTCTTTCAAAAAATTTGTATAGTATAGAATTTTATATTACATTCTTAGAAAAATAATTTCTAGAAAAAATTATAAAGTTTTACAGATTTGAAAACTGTTACAGAATGAACAAAATTGCAATCAGAGATGAGAATAGCCAACAAAGTGGCCATGGTTATTTAACCACATCAGGTATAGTTAGAATTGTAACGGTTTGTTCTCATACATAAAGAATTCAATTCTGATGATTCAACCACATTTAACAGTTTGTCTGCTCTGTGCAACTTCTTTAGAAACATTTAACAACATTAATACTATTGTGATTATTTGATTGAAGAAAATTAGTTCAAAATATAACCCCTATTTACAATCAACAGAATAACAGAGATATCAACATTTAACTCTAAAACTTATACATATGTACAAAATGGAATGACAACAACACTATCTGCAATTTTTTACTTATTTCTTCAACTCTTAGAACATGTTTAGACCCGATTAACACATCCCCATTCCCAATATTCTATAGGCAGGAAAAGATTGCATTTAATTATTCATTTTGTTGAAAAATAAAAAACACAATTAAGTCTTCTTGGATGATCAGATGCAAAAATGGAGGTGGTAGCCATCGTTTTGGAGACTATCTGTGGCTTCATCATCAGGGATTTGATATTATGAGTGATGCAGCTGTCAGTTATGTTTATACACATAATTTATCTTGGAACATCATGTCCTGTTTAAGTTTAGACACTTAGGGAGCAGTGGGCGGAATTTTCCGTCAGTTATCACACAGAGGGTACATTCTTTAACCTCGTAATGTGGAATCATTTCTATTTTTCTTTCCTATGATTGTCTTACGCTCTCTCACTGTATGGGAGTATGCTGGTAGCCAGGTTCCATATTTGACTTGTGGACTCACTGAGCAGTTCATGTCTCCTGTTATTCCAGAAATATCTGTGGTGCCCTTGACATCTGTGCAGTGGTCCGTAAGCAAGGACTTTTCTGGTCTGTGCTTAGACAGGACACCAGACTCAGAGAGCATGTTATGTTTATAAATACTATGGATGTCACTCAGCACATCAATTCATGACAGAGACAGTCTCTGAAACACTGTATATCGGTCAGCAGAGGAGCATTCATATTAATTGTGTTAGCCCAGCTAAAACTTCAAAAAATAAATAAAAAATGTCACTTTACTGGTTCATTCGTACTAAATACATAGCTAAAGGAAACAATCAGATAATGCATTATCTGTCACTTCCAGCCAGTTCATCACAGGCCTTGTTAGACAGTTCGCTGAAGCTTACAATATGAATTCAGGTGCACCTAGAAGAGACAGTGAGAAAGAGTGAGAAAGTTCATAACATTCCAAGCTATTGTGTTAGCCAAACATGAAATGTTAACACAAGTCAGTTACTTGTGCACTCACAGAGCATGCAGCATTAGAAGTTTACATGATTTCTGTCTGCCTCAGGATATGGCTAACACCTCTGAAAAAGTCACCCACTACCAGTGATGCCAACTCCATTTTTGCATGGCTGTTTATTCAAGAAGATTCCACTGTGAAAGCTGTAAATCCTCTACAGTTTAGGCACTACGTTTCGCACATCACACTGATATGAACAGGATGACTGATCGATATGGTAACTGAGACACAGAAATATTGTACAGACCTGAATGTATTGTTGGATATACACATATATGGAACTTGAAACCTTTAATCACTATGTACCATAGCTGATCAATTTTATAACTGTGTAAGATTTGAGGTTTTCACGGCAGTGACTATGAAGAAAGTCATCTTCTTGGATGTGGCGCCATGTAGAAATTGTGTTAACCGATGTTTTGGAGGAACGTATCGCCTCCATCTTCAGGGTAGAAGATAAGAAGAAATCTGTGAGCGAACCAGCAGGGCAGGTGCAACAGACTGAGTTCAGTCAAGCAAACACAGCTGTATAAGAGAAGGAGAGATGGAGTGTGGCTACATAGGGAAATAGTAGAGAGGGGGAGGGGAAGGGTCTGGTGGAATAGCCAGCAGGTTGTGGGCCAGAGCTGTTACAGAGTATGTGTTAGGGGGAGAGAAGCGAAGGTTAAATGGAGGGCATTAACCCTGTCTTGTCTTCTACCCTGAAGATGGAGGCGATATGTTCCTCCAAAACGTCGGTTAACACAATTTCTACATGGCGCCACATCCCAGAAGATGGCTTTCTTCATAATTTTATAAGTGTTTGGGAGAACATGTCTTCATGTTTACAAGTCTTTGTTTGAAACACATAAAAGGATGGAATTGAAAACAGGGAATTTGTTTCTCTCAAGTTTATGGACACTTGGCAACATATTAATCTCTTAAGAGATAGCAATGAAGATTCTGTACATTGAAGAACTACACTTTCTTGAATTTGTGAAGAACCATACCGTGACACATCAGTCTTTTTATGTAAGTTACTTTAAAGACAAATGAGTGATTTTTTTCACCTATGCAGATGTTACAAGCCAAAACCAATCAGGATTAAACAAATTGTTGCCTGAGGTATGGACAAAGAATCAATATTTATGTGCAAAGTAGCTAATTGAGTTTGGGTGTAGACTGAACATTGTGGTTGAGTGTACACCACTCCACAGATACTGAAGTTTTGGAAAGCATGCTGCCTTGATCTGCAGGATGGTAGAGTGAGGAATTACTTTAGTCATATAGTGAGGCTGCAAGGATGAGCACCATTTGAAAATAGAGCCCAGTCTGGGCCAATGGGAACAGCAGACAGGAAAAGAGCACAGAAAAGGGCCTTCTGTATGTGTGACTATGTAAGGGAAACAGTTCCTTATTCTACACACATGAGCTCTGAAAATGGAGACTACACACTTCTTTGAAATATCAGTTATCTTCTTGTAGGTTCATGTGACTGAAGGTCAGAAGAATGAAAGAATGACTATTCAAGAGAAAGCTAGAGGGGTCCCTTCTTCAGTGCTAAGACATTCCGTTATAGCTGCAAAAGCTTATTGCCCTTTCTATGGGCCTGAACAGACAGCTGCATCGCGGCTGAGATTCAGAGTGTGGTCTGTTTTCTGTGCGTGCTTAGTGAAATCGAATACTGTAGTTTTATTTAAGCCTATATATACATCAAGCAGATAACAAAAAAGGTATGTACATCGAATTTTACTATATATTTTTAACACATTAATCTGCAGAATCTGCAATAAAAGTACTGGCTCGTGGATGAGTTTGGCCATAACTCGTACGTATACTTTTTATGTTGTTGTTCACTTAGGTATCATTTTAATTTTTCTATTAGGGCTTTACTCAAGTCTGTCTGGTAATTGCTACATTTAAAAATAAATATTTAGGACTGTGCAGTCGCTTCTACTAGTGGCGTGTGCGCGCGCTTCCCCTAGCGAGTTTAAATGCCCGACTGGCCAAAACGGGGTACTTTGGCCACGACGACCTTACTTACCACTGGCACAAACGGGGCGCTTCGCCACTTAAAGGTTAAACCCTGATCATTATCATCAGCATGACAGTGGGAGTGATGGATTCCATGCTCCAATTCAAAAATGAGTTTTGTCAGCTTGGTCAGATGTCAGAAAATTGTTTAGGCCAAATAAAAAGAAAAACTTCTCCAATCTGCTCCAACCTCAAACTTTGTCAGAACTCCTTGCTGTTAGTATCTGAAAATGCAAAATTACAACAAGCATTGCTATCTCTCAGGATGAATAGACAATGATTTAATCTATATTTTAAAACACTGTACCTTAAAATATAAAATTTCAGTTCTGTGAAAGTGTGGCAATGCTATTAAAGAAGCTCTTTAGAGCCTACAGTTATTTAAATGTAACTTCCATTTAACTGACTCGTTTGGTCAAAACGTGTTTAATAAATGTGACAACTAAAAAATTAATTGTTCTATAAAATATGATCCATAATGTGACTGGACAATGTGAAGAGACAGGATACCCAAAGTTGAACATTATACCATAAGAGCTGGTATAACTCTTTCAGAGCCAGGGAAAAAGTTAAGCGGAATACACTGAAGATGGTGAAAATCAGATAGAAAGGAAGATGGAGAAGAAGAATGGTAAGAAGTAGAGGTAAAGAAGGTGGAAGGAAATTAAAAAGAAGGATAGAACGGAAGAAAAAATGGAAAAGAAGGAGAAGAAGACCAGCAAACAAGGAAATTCCCCTTCAGTCTTCTATTGATCAGAAAATTTCATTCCACATAATATGACTGCTTCCAGATGGTTTGGGTCTGAAGGCTTAACAAACAGTGTTCAGTCAAAGAGTTTTATGAAATACGCAAACAAAAACTACATGAACAAATAACACTTGTCTGAACTGTAGAATTACTGAAGTAATGTCACAATCTTGCAGTCTCTTCTGCATGAACAGGAGGGATCAGGCACCTTCACAGCAGGAGACATATTATTACATGGAAAACAAAACAGGAGTTCAGAGTTCTGTTTCAGCAATGTCTATGAATGTCATCCACAACCATTTTTTTTATATCATGCTGATACTAACTGAAATTCACTGTTATTAATTGTCATAGAATTCACTCAGTAGAAGGCTCTCATGAGCAGCGTTACTGATGGTAGGTACCTTACACACTTGTATGGATATTCCAAAGTGTAACTTGGATTCAGCTGGTAAAGGGTTGGAACTTGAGAGATCTCGTGGCAGGAAGGGGGTTGACTGCTCGGAACTTATCATCAATATCGCCTGCACTGAACCTGTGGTGATGCTTCTGCTCCCAGAAACTTGGTGCTGGTGGTGGCTGGGAGATCCAGTCTGCTGGCTGTGTTATGCTTGTCAGCTTATTACTGCAATGATTTCTTGTATTTACAATGTTGTTGGATGGGACTGTCATGTCTGAAGGCTGAAATGTGTTACATACTGACAGAGGAGGGGAGGTTGTTCGTCTGCCTAGGATGGCATCGGCATCCAAACCCAATATAAGCAACACACGTCGAGGATTCTGCAAGATATATTGTTCCAATAGATCCAGGCTTGTCTGAGACTCCTTGTCTAATGTAAAATTTACATTGCTGCCCATTAGAGGCTCACTATTGTCCCAACAGAATATTTCAGGGGGGTGAGAGGAGCTACGTGGTAGCATAACAGTGTTGCAATGTTTCAGACTATTGTCAGGTATATTAGGATTTGAATGTGCAGGAAGTGGATGTGGATATCGTGTTCCCATTGCAGTGTTGCTTGTGGCAAGTTCCTGTAGTGCCTGAATAGCATTCCTCACCTGAAATGCAGAGTAAGATATTTTGATACAGCTAATTAGCATCTTTCCTCTCTTTCCATTACATATTCTTTGCACTGTATTTTGTTTAAAAGATCTTTTCAATTAGTGGCTTACATTGCTTTAGGGTTTCATTAATTTTGTTTCAAATTTTATTATAAACAAGTAATAACAGAAAAAAATTTGCTCACTTAATAACAAAAAATTTGGAATGAAGATTGAAATCACATCAAAGAATTCTACTGCAATAAATGCACATTACTTTCAACAGCCATAGCTACTGTGTGTGTGTTGATAAGAGAGTATGGAGTAAATTTCATCGAATTTTCAGGTGTTATCTATTATATTTACAGTTGGAAAGAGAGAGGAAATTACCTTTTTGTACATATACTAACAAATATAAGGTGCAGTGTCCTAGTATATTGAAGTGAGAACTGCTAGCAAATTACGAAATGATTCACTTTCTCAAGGCACATCATTCCAAAAACACATAAATTAAAAATGCATAAAACGATAGATATATTCTGGAGATATTAAGAACCTCAACTTTCAATAGTAACATGAGCTCAAATAAATGGAGGCTGAGGATTCTAACAGAGAATATACATAATTTTTATTTGTGTAACCAGATGGAAATGAAGTAACTGTACCTCTTGGCTGAGTGTTGCTACATCTTGATGCAAAGTTGACACTTGTGTGTCTAATCTTTCAACACTGCTGCGTGTCTGTTCTACTTCTCCTCTCAGTTCAAGGTTCAGACCTTCCAGTGACCCTGTCTTTTGACTGCTGCCGGGTAGAAGGCTTCGTTGTCGATCTCTTGTGCCACCTCCACCACGGGTCCGTCCTGAGTAGCCTCGTAATTCATCCAGCCTGAAAAACAATTCTCTTTAATTTTCTGAATCATAGTCTGTTCTAACCTAAGTGGGATTATAAGCAATGCATCAGAAGAAGTGCATTAGGCCAAGTGGAATTAAGACTCATTGATCCAAGTTAGTTTATGTGGGATGATGGACTTAAAGTAACATTTTTCAGATCTCCCTTGTCTTCCTCTTCCCTTCCTTCCCTTAAACCTTATTCTTCTCCTATTTTCCATTCTATTTATCTCCTCCCTTCTTTCTTACTTTGTGGCCATGAGGACAATGTGTATGTACCATTACAACAGTGCAAACCACAGCCAAAAATGCTTATATCACTGTTATGATATTTTTGTTAACATCTAAATCAAGTGCCCCATCCAAGAGCTTCTAAGAATTTAATTACCTCGGGTTGAACTTTCCATGCCGAGGGCTGTTTGTGGCATGAAGAGGTGATCGGTTTGGAGGAGACAAGGGAGAAGTCTCCCCTTCTTCAGGTATGTTCTCATCATCTTCACTGATGGACGGAAGGGTAAGAGATGGAACTCCATTTATTTCTGACTCTTGCTGTAACACAAAACATAATGATAGCTATAAGAAAATGAAATTTCATGGAATACAGTGTATTTTCTAGAAGTAGGAACTCAGTTTTAAATATTAGTTGCCTGAACTTCAGCCTTCAAAGGGTTAATAACAAAAACTCCTCTTGGCTTTGAGGGATCAGTCTTAAACATTAATGCACTGGTGTGAAATATCTTTCAGAGTGAATCACCCCTAAATTAGTGGTACAGAACATTACATCATTGTTGGAAAGTTATTAGAGTCTATTTTCAACGTATGGTCAAACCAAAATTGCAATACCAGAGATTTCATTAAACACATTAAACTTTTCTTTCATAAGGTTGCCTATTCAAGTCTTGGTGTTCCCTCCAACATACATGTATTTTTGACAATGAATATTGGTATATGAGCAAAAACAAAACAACAGAAAATTGAGATTTCAAATTAAGTTCATTGATACAGAATCAAATAGACCATATTTTGATAGATAGGAGACAGCACTCAAGTATACGTGATGCCTGATCATTCAGGGCAGCAGATTATGATACCGACCACTACCTGGTGGTAGGAAAGGTTAAGGAAAGACTGGCAGTGAGCAAACAAACAACGCACAGGGTCCATTTGGAGAGGTTCAATCTCAAGAACTTAAATGAGGTGGGTGGTAAAGAGCAGTATCGTTTTGAAATCTCAAATAGGTTCGCGGCCTTGGAAAACTTGGACACTGAGGTTGATGTTAATAAAGCTTGGGAAACTATTAGAGAGAATATAAAAATTCCTGCCAAGAAGAGTCTATGTTATTATGAACTGTAGAAGCATAAGCCATGGTTACATGAAGGATGCTCAAATTCACTAGACCAAAGAAAACAAGCCAGAATGCAATGGCTACAGGATCCAAGAGAAATACATAGGGATAATCTGAACAATATAAGAAGTGAAACCAGCAGGCATCTTAGGAATAAGAAGAGGGAATATATGAAAGACAGAATTGATGAGCTTGCAATGAACAGCAAGAACAAGAATATTAGAGACCTGTATAGAGGAATAAATGACTTTAAGAGGGGTTACTAACCTAGAAGTAACTTAGTGAAAGATTAGAATGGTGATTTGCTTGCAAATGCCCCCAACATTTTGAATAGGTGGAGGAACTACTTCTCTCAGTTATTTAATGTACATTGGGTGAGTGATGTTAGGCAAACAGAAATCCATACAGCTGAGAGGTTACTACTTGATCCCAGCCCTTTTGATGTTGAAAATGGTATTGCAAAATTGAAAAGGTATAAATTGCCAGGTAGTGATCAATTTCCGGCAGAACTTATTCAGACAGGAGGCGAAATATTACATTCTAAGATCCATAAGCTAATTACTTCTATTTGGCATAAGGAAAAATTTCTTGATCAGTGGAAGGAGTCTATTATTGTACCAGTTCACAAGAAGGGTGATAAAACTGACTGTAGTAATTATCGGCGGATATCACTGCCATCAACGTCGTACAAAATTTTATTCAATATTCTTCTCTCAAGGTTAAAGCCATATATAGATGAAATTATTGGTGATCATCAGTGTGGGTTTTGTCGTAACAGATCAACTATGGATCAGATCTTTTGCATCCGTCAGATATTGGAGAAAAAATGGGTAGTACAATGAGACAGTACATCAGCTATTCAAAGACTTCAAGAAAGCCTATGATTCAGTTAAGAGGGAAGAATTGTTCAATATTCTGAGTTTTTGATACCCATGAAACTAGTATAGCTGATTATAAATGTGTTTAAACGAAACTTATAGTAAAATCCGTATAGGTAAACATTTGTCTGATAAATTTCCTATCCAGAATGGTTGAAGACAAGGAGTTGCTTTATCACCACTCCTTTTCAACTTTGCTTTAGAATATGCCATAAGGAAGGTCTAGGAAAGCCAGGTGGGACTGAAATTAAATGGGACACATCAGCTGTTGGCCTATGCCGATGATGTGAATCTACTGGGTGATAATATAGATACCATAAAGAAAGACACACAAACTTTAATTGACTCAAGTAAGGAGGTTTGTCTAGAAGTAAACACAAAGAAAACTAAGTATATGTTGCTGTCTCGTCACCAAAATTCAGGGCAAAATCATGACATAATGATAGAAAACAGATGTTTTGAAAATGTGGGAACAACGATAACAAATCAAATCCTGATTCAGGAGGAAATTGAGAGGAGATTGAACTCAGGAATACTTGCTACCATTCAATCCAGAACCTTCTGTCTTCTCGTCTACTGTCCAAAAGCTTAAAAATTAGAATACACAGAACGATAATTTTGCCTGTGGTTCTGTATAGGTGTGAAACTTGGTCTCTGACATTAAGGGAGGAACATAGACTGAGGGTGTTTGAGAAGAGGGTGTTGAGGAGAATATTTGGACTGAAGAGAGATGCAGTGACAGGAGATTGGAGAAAACTGCATAATGAGGAGCTTCATAACTTGTACTCTTCTCCAAGTATAATTAGAATGATGAAGTCCAGGAGGATGAGATGGGCAGGGCATGTAGCACGAACGGGGGAGATGAATGCATATAGGATATTGGTAGGAAAGCCAGAAGTAAAGAGACCACTAGGAAGACCAAGGCATAGGTGAGTAGACAATATTAAAATGGATCTTGGAGAGACAGGATGGGATGGTATAGATTGGATTGATGTGGCTCAGGATAGGGACCAGTGAGGGCTCTTGTGAACATGGTAATGAACCTTCGGATTCCATAAAATGCTGGGAAATTCTTGAATAGCTGCAGAATTGGCGGCTTCTCCAGAAGGGCTCAGTTCCATGTAAAGTAAAGTAATTTACGCAACAACTCTCTCAGGAGCTGCAATCATAACATTGTATTGTGGGAAGACTGGAGAAATGAACTGGAATGGATGTTGAAGGAACTGAAGAAAGTCACAAAACTGCCTAAGTCAAGACAGCAGGTCTATGCTTCAAGACTGGAACTTAATATACCTTGAGCATGAAAGTTGAGGGCTACCCACTTGACCAGAACATTTAGTGGTACCAGATTCTCCGATACATTCTGGATATTCCTCTTAATCCACACCTTCAAATGTTTTACCTCAGCCTCGTATCCCTCCCGGAGGTTGTAGGTGAGATCATGCTGAATGTCATTTGCAAACTCCTGCTGGTACTCTGGGTACAGTCTTAGCACATCCACCAGACCTTGCATGTTGATACACTTGAGATCACAGTAAGTGAGCGCTTTCACATCACAACTAGACTTGACAACAACATCACCACTTCCCCCTCCCCCTCCACCTCCGACCCCACTGGTGCTGACGATAGCCCCATTCCCAGATGGCTGCAGGTACATACTTATGTCACAACCAAACAAATCACCCTTGCCTGTAACATAGAAAAGCACAAAATATTAGAACTCTGAATACAGTGAACTCCTCCATCTGCGGTGTCTTTGGAATGCAGTGGGCGTAAACACTGAACTTAGGGAAATCGTAAGTGGAGGAAATTTAACACTAATCTTATTGACATGGTACCAGTGAATGAGAACATTAATTGAGTGAACACATAGAGTGGTAGGTGGGTGCCAGCATTTCATGGGAATACCCTGTCTCTATCTTGTACTCTGAAAATACACCCAGCAGGCTGCTTGCAGTCAATAGTCATCTGCCTGCACCTTCTCATGATGCACAAGATCACAATATGGATCCTTAGCACTTGCTATAATAAGCACTGTAAGTGTTCATTAATTTCCCACCTTTCCCTTGCAGGTTATTCTTCTGAAATATTCAAATAATGTAATAGCTTATTAATTAACATAATATGTAACAAGAAGTTCTGGGAAGAACTAATTTCCTACTTTCCTTTTACTACATACAGAGTATTTAATACAACACGAACTGCATAGAAAACATCATGCCCAGCAGGTGTTCTATTGTTGCACATGTATTTACTGCCACAGGAGCCACTGTATAGCAACGGCTGTTTCTTCTGGGTCCACTGTTCTGTCTTTCTGATGATGGGGGGACACAGAAAGGAAGGAGATCTCATAAGGCTCTTCTGTTTTTTATTTTTTTTTTAAATAAGGAAGGTAGGCTTCACCTCAAGAAGGGCTCAGTTCCATAAGTAAGTAAGGCTACAAATGTACCTTTCCTGAAAGTTTTGGGTTTCTTTCTGTGGACTTCACAGAAACACTCACATATATTGTGAAATCCACTTCGTAATCCAGCATAGTCAATATAGTGACATAACAAAGAATATCCAGATATTCAGACATTTCCATTGCACTCCAGCTCAGTCATACAGCAGTGGGTTATGGGTTCGATGGTTCAGGATTCTGGGCAGGATTAAAATATTTTCTGTTCTTCACAGAGTTCAGACTGTCTCTGGGCTCACCCAGCCCCATAAAGATGGGTATCAGATGCTGCTCTTGGGGGGGGAAGTGACTGGAGTGTGAAGTTGGCCACTCACCTCAGTCTAATGCCAAGATTTGGGATGGTATTTAATTAGGTACTCTCCCCCTATGCATATATCCATGATTATTAAAGTGATGTTCCACTGCTGTGGTACAGTTCGGATACAATTAGAATCCCAATTTGCAGTGTTTTCTTTTAATTACATGATTAAGCACTGATTACTTAATTTGTGTGATGTTTCATCTTTAAAGTTTTGGAAAGCATGTACTATCATTCTGACAATGAAGCATGTGTACTTCTACTTGTCTATGGTGACATGAAACATACCTAAGATAGCCACGACCATACTGTTCTGTACCACTTCCATGGACCCATTGCACAAGTAGTAGATGTACTGAAGGGCATCTCCCTTGTGGATAAGATATTCTCCGGGTGCACAGAAGTTGCTACGGATGTGCAGGGAAAGAAGCTTCAGACAGCCTTGTGATGCGCCTTCAAAGATGGGAAGCTGGAGAATCTCACGGTGGAGATGCATAGACACATCACCTCTGAGCTCCTCAGGGAATTCCTTCAGTGTCTGCAAAGGAAGGTGAAGAACGGTGAAAATCAAACTAAACATGGAGTACTTATGGTGCTGACTGTGAAGGGTCTGCTGGAAGTTTACTGATGTTTCAGAGGAATGTACTGCCTTCCTCTTTCAGACTGAAGGGTAAGCCAAGCGAGCTACAATCTGTATAAGGTGAGTTTGGAGAAAGTGTTGCAGAAACAGGTGTGGTCTCATTAGCATCTTTGGACTGACTCTGCTTGTTTGTTTGGTTTATTCTTTGACCTTAAAGACTGAGGCACTATATTCCTCTGAAACATCAGTAAACTTCTACCAGACTACATGGCGTCACATCCCAGAAGACAGAACTCTTTAGTGAATATCTATATGCTTTGTATAGGATGTGGAATTTTGTATCTCATAAGACTGATCAGGCTGGTGGGGGAATATTTTAATATAAGGGAGAGGGAGTAACAGGAGATTGAGAGACAATTTCATTATTAATAGCCACACTGAATATCGTTAGGATAATGAAACGCAGGAGAATGAGACGGAGAAGACGAAACCTTTCATGTTGACAAGAATGATGGTTATACTGGGCACATCTGGCAAAAACTTTGTCTAAACTGTAACAATGCTTATGATTCCAGACTCATGGGCGTCCTCTGTATTAACAGAAAGAGCATGCAGCCATAGAGATATGACTAAATAATCCTCTTCAGCAAACTGTTCCATTATTACAGACATAAAAGGCAGGCACATTAAAAGTGAATGAAACCTTGCGTAAAGAGGAACCAAGATTCATGGTTGGCAGCAGGAGGGGAGGCAGGCTTCTTCTCTTTCTTTGACTCCTGGGAAAAGTCAAAATTTGGAAAAGGAAGAAAATATACCAAACAGTAATACAAAAAATTATTATTGTTTAATATTATTCTTTTATCATTAATGCCCTGGGAAAATCAGTAAAATAGTCTTAAATGCTTTAGATGTAAATTTCTAAGCAAACTTTGTAGCTCTTGCCTGGAAACATGGCTGTCTTCCTTTGGAAAAAATCCTGACAACATCCATGACAAGATATACAGTACTTTTAACATACAAAAAAAGACATCCATAATGCTGCATTACACAAAAAACAAAACAAAAATATTAAACCATCTGGAAAACATCTAATATCTAATTGACATAAAAACAAACTAAGCAATTTCAATTAAATGCATTATGATAATATTTCTTATGTTTACCATCCAATGAAGAAACCAGAAAAGAATTATTCTTGCATGTGGATTTAAGTTACTACATCTACCACAATGAATGACAGTCTCAAAATTATTAAACGTAGAATTCTAGGCGCAAACTGGAAGGACCTGGTAATTTTTATGCATTGACCTTGCTACGTGCTTCAGAATTACAGTTTTCTGTGATGTGACGCCATGTTGCATGAATCCTACCTACCTAACAAACTACTCGTACATGACATCACATCCAAGAAGACTGTAACAGTACTACTCACTGCTGTGTGCAAATCAAATTTCATTTCTTATTTTCTTCAGTTTTGTTCGTATTATCATTTCAATTCTCTTTTTAAGTAAGCTGTTATAAATTTCAGTGCAAATAAATATTTCAGTTGATTTTTTTTAATAATTACACATGCCTGTAAATGTGAAATCCTAGTTCCACTCTCATATTTCATTCCTAGCTTGTTAAACTGATGTTCACAGCAGCTCAGACTGTAGAGCACTGAATGGAGGGATGATTAGTGAAAGGATCTGATAGGAAATGATCATGGTCTAATTTGAGGCACTATCATCATCAGCATCAGGTGCTCATACAAAAGGCCCAAAAGTGACCAGTGTACTACATAGACATGGTCTCATTTCAACCTACAGTAAAAAAAAAAAAAGGAGGTTTGGTAGATAGTTACCTCCTAAACTTCAGTATCTGTCTATTAAACTACATGACATCACACCCCAGAAGCCCATAATATTAACTGTAAAATACATCATGACCTAGGAAGACTAAGACATAGGTGGGTGGACAATATTAAAACGGATCTTAGAGAGATAGGATGGGATGGTATAGATTGGATCCATCTGGCTCAGGATAGGGACCAGTGGAGTCTTCTTGTGCACATGGTAATGAACCTTTGGCTTCCTTAAAATGCTGAGAAGAAGAAAAACATGGTGACAAGAACTGAACTGAGGTAGCATTTCATTTATTTCATTTATAACTAATATAATTGATGCAGCAGTACTAATAACTAACTAACTAACTAACTAACTAACCAACCTACCAACCAACCAACCATCAAAGCAACTAACCAACCATCTAACAAACTAACTAAATGGAGTGGAGTCAATCTTCATAATCTAATAAGTGCTCTGGTAGTTAAGATATTCCCTGCTTTTTACGGAACCTGGAGCATAATTATCCTCTTCCCAGCAGTCTGATACTGGTCCCTATCCTAGGCCAGATGAATCCAATCCACATCATACCATGTTATTTTCTATGGTTGTTTTTAGCATTATCCTTCCACCTATGCGTAGGTTTTCTGTGCGATTTCTTTCCTGTAAGTTTTCCTACCAAAACTGTAGAAGGAAAGAAAACATAAATACCAGTATGTAAATACAGGTTGTGGAAGGAAAGCAAGGTCAGTGCATGTGCCGCTACTGGTATCACAATACACACCTCTCTCACCTCGTGAATGTCAATGCCATGGTTCAGTGACCACATGGTCTGGAAGTAATCCTGCATTCTCTGCTTCATCTCCTTTGGAATCTGATGCAGTGTGAGGAAGTCCTTCAGATCACGCCATTTTGTCTGGTACAGGGAGCGCCGTGAATACATGCGCTGGATAATGGCAGTCACGTTGCCAAACACGACAGCATGCATAAGTGCTGCAGTTCAACAAATAAAATAACTAAGCATTTTAACCATTTCAGAATCACAATGAAAGGTCTATCCTCCAACAAAGAGAAGATATGACAAGTGGTGGGTGGTGTACAACTTTGACTTCTCCATAATAATTATGGCAATGTTTTCAGCTTACAAGATATAATGTGCTAAGCCTTTCTGAGAAATCAGATGTGTCAATTAGAATTACTAGTCTTTTGGATTCTATCCAAGCTCTGGTATTCTAAAAATCACTTGATTCAGTGATTGAGGTTAGCTCTTTCTAAGGGACCTAACAAAGTAGGTGTCTCTCCCCCTCACCTGAGGACAGAAACAGATCCAGCCTCTGAAATATTTTGTTTGCTTGTTTCTAGAATATTGGACGATGGGCAAAGTTAAAAAATCCAGTAATTCTGAGTACTATACACCACTGTTAGAGCCCTTTAGAATCTAGCAATGTCAATGTTTAGTTAAAAAATGAAGTTTCAGGGATATCATCTGTTTCCATCATCAGGGTCAACACTGAGACATCATAAGCATCTGTCACGCAATATTTTATAATTTCCCGGTTATTTTGTATGAGTAAGTGTTTGGGGGCTATTACCTACTCTAATGGGGAAGCCAAGTTCTCAAGAAGAATTGAAAATATAGTTGAATGTACACAGAGTTCTGGTAAATCAATAAGCTAATAAGATTTATTATAGGAGCATTTTGGAAACAGTTTCAGCCACAGCAAAAGTTTTCATGGCTGTACATGCACGTTTTATAAATTACTGTATATGTAGAGAGGCTGTAAAGCTATTTAGGTTTCTTCTGTCACCATACAGCCTGATACCTGTAACAGTGTGCAGAGCTGCAATTTTAACTGGCCAGCAAAGTTGAAGGGATTATGGTAATGCAAAGTCTGAGGACCCCTGCTGTAGAGCGACCAACAAAAATAGTCTTAAATATAAGTTTGAAAGCAAATTTTATGGCTGCTCCCTATAGAAAACTTACTGTCCTCCTAGATAAATTCTGGATTGTGCCCATGTTGCTACTCATATTATACAATTTAATGAGAGAAGTGGCAGGAGACAGAGAGTTACAGAAAATAGTTCATTATGTTTTGAATAGTGTACACAATTGAAGAGAAAGTTGGTTCTTACAATAACGAACAGCAAACCTACCAGCACAACTCATTCATCTCATGTGACACATGTCTTCCAAATTCATTGAATTCCTACAGTAATCCCAATGTTATTGTACACCTACTTTGTGAAGCTTTACCTCCAATGAGCATGGTACAGATGCTGAATACTTTTTCTGATGTTGTGTTGGCAGAAACATTGCCAAACCCGACACTGGTGAGGCTCGAACATGTGAAGTAAAGAGCTGTAATGTACGACTCTGAATGTGTTACGTTGTTTACAGAAATGTTAAGCCTCTTTGCCAACGCATGGATCCAACCTGTAAAAAAACAAAACTGCATGAGATTTCTTAAGTTATGATGATGATGTAGTGGTATAGTGGTATAGTGATAAGGCTCTAGACTTGCGCTCATGAGATGTTAGGTTCGAATTTCTTTTAGGACACCCACTATCTTGTTTTCTTTGGTGTCTATAGGTAAAAGCCTGAATAATAGGTTAAATCTGGACGTGACCACTGCCTTCCAAACACTTCCCAATTCATTAACCACCATTCATCCTAACATTTGGAGCTATATACCCTGAAACCTTGACACAGTTGTGGAACAGTCTACTAAAAATTGTAAATCCATGTAAAAGTCTTTAAGTTACCACAGAAGAGATAATTTACATAGTCCCTCTTGAAACCTCAGTCAGGACAGCTGGTCCCTGGGGCAAGAACTGAATAGAGGACTTCCTGATAAGGAAGCAGAGGGCTATAGAGTCTACCCCATATGGTTTAGCGGCGGTCTGTTGTCGGTATGTTAATGAACCTTCTGGTACCATAAACAGAGCTGAATTTATTGACCATCTGAGTAACTGTTAACGTCCCCCTGAATGACTCTAGACTATATCAATAGTCAGTTAAAGAATAATGATGTGTAGCAATACAAATTGGCATTCTCTGTATTTTAATGACATGCGTCTTTTAGTATACTGACTAGACTTCAGACCCAAGAGCCGGAATTCAATTCCCAGCAGAGGAAAGAGATTTCTCTCTTAACCCAAGTCCCAGATCGGTTCTGGGAACCACCCTGCCTCCCATCCAATGGGTCCCAGGATCACCCTTTCCTTTTGTACTAGAGCTGACCACTCACTTCCATTCAGTACCAAGGTTCAGAACGCATGAAGCTATACCGACTCCACACATACGTGTTCATGGCCCGGTATTTTGAATAACTTGGAGAGAGGTGTAGAGTTGCAGTCGCTACCTGTACGCATGCGTCATGGTTCGTTAACGAGAGGCCCGTCTATATTTAGATACTTGTTGAGAGATGAAATTACTTGTGCCTAATCTCATCAGCTGCTCAATTGACGTCTTCTCACTACAGCAATCTAACACGTGCTGTACAGTAAGGGGAAGTGTAGATGACCCACACGGCCTGCAGCACACGTAACAGGAGCTATACTGAATGTTTCCTGCTATACAGAATACATCTGCAGTAAAAGTAAGTTGTCCTTATGCTTAGTTAAGCACCATGTCATGAACACGTACCGTATTTACGCATGTATAGGCCGCACATTTTTTGCCAAAAATTCAAGAGGGAAACTGGGGTGCGGCTTATATTCGAAATATTCGAAATCACACTTCATTTAAAAAATTAAACGTTGCCAAATTTCGGAATAATTTCTACTCCTGAAATAATATTCCAAGAAAATTATTTTTTCTATAATTTCTGTCTGAAAATTGTGCTGCGGCCTATACATGCGTAAATACGGTATATGGAGGGGAGTGGAGGTATAGCTTTACGCGTTATCCTCGGCACTAGATGGAGGTGAGTGGTGAGCTTCATGCCCCGGTCGCTTTATCCCCCAGGCAGGAGATTTTGTCAGTCCCAGAGCCTGTCTGGACGCTGTCGAAAGTAGAGTAATGTGTTGCTTGTGCCGTGAATCGAATTCTGACAATTCCTTTCTCACCACAATATTTTATTTATTTAACGACCGAGCTCAGTCTATATAGCGGATGGGCTATGACCTGGAGGCCTAGGAATCAAGGTTCGATTTCCAGAACAAGCAATATTCTTCCCTCTTCTACATGGTGTCCAGACCGGCTCTGGGGGCCACTGAACTTCCCATTCAACGAGAAAGTGGCCGGAACGTGAAGCTGACATGGAGACAACTTATAGTCACAATAACGTAAATGTATCCATGAGATTAATTAACTAAGTGTCATGTCATGAAGACTTATGGGGGAACAGAGGTATAGCTTCTCCATTTTTAATCTTGGCACTAGATGTGAGTAGTCAGCTTCACGCCCTGTCCGCTTTACTTCCGGGCACAGAGCGCCGCGGTATCCATTGTATACGAGGCTGGTTGGGCTTCAGGGCCAGTCTGGACGTTGTGGAGGAGAGAAATTTCTTGATGCTGCAGAGAATCGAAACCACGTCGTATTCTAGTCGCCATACCAACTGCGCTATCCCACCTTACTTTATCCCCACATTACCTTATCGAACGATGCTGTCAGCAGCTTAGGTTAAATAACATCATGTATCAGCAAGTAATGGATGAGACCCAATTTGAGGTCAGTACCGACATTTGCCGAGGGCACGCGGTAGCGTGATTTGTTTTTAAGGCACTATGCTACAAACCGGCAGGTCGCGGTTCGAATCCCGATGATGTCATTGAATTTTTTAATTGAAATAATCCTTCCAGCCACACTATGGCCCTGGGGTCGACCAGCCTCGAACAGAAATGAGTACCAGGAATAGTCCTAGGGGGTAAGGTCAGCAGGAGCGTAAGGCTGACAACCTCACCGCCATCTGTGAGCCGATTGTCTAGAAGATGTTGGAACCTCGACGTCTCACAACCTTATAGGCCTTTACGGTCTGTTAAAGACAGATTTAAATTTTAATATTATCCTGTAGTCTGCGCCTACGTCTTAATGGTCTCTTCCCTTCACCTAATCCGACCAAATTTTGAATGCACTTCTCTTCTCCCCATCTATTCTACATGCTCCGCCCATCGCATCTTTCTTAATTCTATCATCCTGAGAATATGTGGCGAAGGATACAAATTATGGAGCCCCTTATTATGAGACTTTCTTCATCCACCGGTCATTTGCTCCCCCTTCAGTCGAACAGGGTCTGCTGCACCGTTCTCAAACATCCTCGGTCTGTATTTTATGCTTAACGTAAGAGACGAGGTTCCATGCCTTTACGAAAAACAGGAAGTTATGTGCGTTAATTCCCAGTGAGGGTACACCATTGATGTTGTGAAAAGTTGTCCCGACAGAGTCAAAATGACCACCTGCGAGACAGCGCGAGAATTCTCCATATACCATATGATAACGTCTCGAGGACAGACCCACTGCACCCAACTTGCGACCCAATTAAATGGGACATAACGCATGTGAACATACAAGAGTTCGTAACACGATACCCACCTAGGTAGGAACCAGACCAGCGCTGCCAGTATACCAGCGAAATAACTAACAGATATGTACATATATTTTATTCTTAATTTTGATCTTAATTTAACCTTCAACTATATACACAGTAATTTAACTAATTAATAACTAATTTCAACGTAATTGGACCAGAAAGCAGCTGATATCAAGAGTTTTGTTACCAGCATAATATTACGTGTTATATAGTCATATTCAAAATATGGATCATATTAAAAACAAGCTCAGTTCCTAAGCACAAACAGTACATCTGATGATGTCCCAATGAGCGTAGAGACATGTCGTGTTTTTAAGATTTTAATGTAAATGATCTGTATTTGTATATTTTTATAAGAAATTGTTGTGTCGAAGGATGTAAAAATATTTAATGTTGATTATGATTGTTTGAGGAATAAAATATGAACTGGAAAGGACATCTCACACTTGTGGAAAAGAAACCCCCATCTCTCACTGACGTCACAGGTAGTTGTGGGTCGGGGCAGGAATTTGGCAAGTATCCGATAAAGGGGAACAAAAATTTCTGCTCCTGAATATCTAAGAAGAGTGAATCGAGCCGGGGTAGGTCAGTCGATTCGATTCCCGGCAACACAAAGGGATTCTTCTCTTCCCTGTAGTATTCACACTGGTTATGGAACCAATCCAGCCTACTACAAAACGGGTTTCTTTGCTTGGGGATAAAGTGAACGGAACGTGAAGTTGGCTACACACCTGTACCTAGCTCAGAAATCAAGAATTACTGGCACTATACCTCCATTTCCATCACGTCTCCATGGTGTAATGATTAATTAATTAAGCACAGGGACGAATTCTACTTCGCATTAAAAGTTATTACATTTAGGATTCCGAAGGGAGTTTAGAAGAACTTTAAATATGTCAGCATACAAATTTCACCCCTGAATTTAACATTCATTACATAGGTCAGCGTACAAGGTGTCCCTCCATGTAACACCCAAGCTTCGGGAACGTATTCTGAAAGTGATCTGAAGCAACAGTAGGCCATATAAATGTCACTAGCATCTGCACTGCCAACAAATGAATTCGTACACCATGTGGTCTGGTAAGAGAATAGCAAAGTTTAGGAGCAATATATCACTTCGATATATCGTAAAAATCGAGACATTATGTAAGGTAAAGGTAAAATTATCCCTGTGCTTAACTAATTAAGCACTATGCCATGAAGGCGTATGGGGGAGTGGATGTATAGATCCACATTTTCTTGACCTCGGCTCTAGTTGAAGGTGAGTGGTCAGCTTCACGCCCCGGCCACTTTACCCGCGAAGAAAAAGCTCCCGGTATCCATTGTATAGGATGTTGAGTGGACAACAGGACCGGTTTGGACGTTATGGAGAAGTGAAAATTCTTGCCTCACCGGTACTCGAACTCCGACCCCTCCGTCCTCCAGCCCGTAGGCAGTCGTTATACCGACTGAGCTATCTCGGCTTCTTGGAAACATTTTGTTCTTCCTAAATGTCTCTATTCACCTACCAGTATACACGGTGTTATGAAAGAAAACGGAGGATTATACTGGCTTCAATTCTTACTATGAAGGCCTCCTTCTTGAACACTGGCAACTAACCACTAGACTACACTGCGTCACTTCCAAAAATACTATAATTTTACTATGAAATTCCTCCTTTCGGGGTAAGACTCTACCCGCCATCCTATCATGCACTGTTCAAATATACTGCAACACGTGACTGGATCTTGGAGATGACTGTATTTTGTGCTGGGAACGAATCTAATTAAGCAGAGAGGTGACGCTTCTCCAGTGAATTTGACCTCCACAAACCCTCTCGGCAACTTTACGGCCATAAACCAGTCAGCCAATCATCCTTGTAGCAAGACAACCGTGTACAGGGTCGTCGAAACGTACTAAAGGA